TGTGTACAATCTCAATCTCTTCACCATCCATCCTGATGCTGCCAATTGGTCCAGTGGTGAGAATCTTTGTCTTCTTGACATTGAGCCCCAGTCCATATTGTAGGCTGCAGTCTTTGACACTCTGCAGCAGGCGCTTCAGGTCCTCCTCAGTTTCAGCAAGCAGGATTGTGTCATCCGCATAACGCAGTTTGTTGATAAATCGTCCACCTAATATTCTCAATACTCTTCTCCAGCACCACAGCTCAAAGGCATCAATTCTCCTTCTATCCTCATTGGTCATTGTCCAACTCTCTGATGCATAACAGGTGATTGCGAAGACCATGGCCTATATCAGACGCACCTTAGTCTCCAAAGAGATACCATTGCTCTTCAGCACTTTGGAGAGGTCCCTATACCTTTTAATTTTTTATGAAGTTTAAATCATAGCTAGAATCTAGTATGTTACTTGCTGGGCTACTAACTGGAAGAGTGGCAATAGAATCCATGAGCTAGCTCCTCCATGGGAGAAAGAGAGTGTCAAAGGAATATTTACTTCCACTGAAACCCAATGAAGCATCACTGTGAGCTGGCATAAGTTTAAGGGCAGTTGCTGTTGTTGTTGTTATGTGCCATCAAGTTTCCTGTGACTTCAAGTGTGACCCTACGTACAACAGTACTAAACCCTGTCCTGTCCTGCGTCAATCTCACTGACTATGACACATCTATCCTCATTGTTTCAGTTACTATACCAATCTATTTCATCCAGGGTCTTCCTCTTCTGTGCTATCCCTCCACCCTTCCAAGCATGATGTCTTTCTCCAAGGACTGGGCTTTGATTTTTGGTTTAGAATCTGCTGGTCCTATAATTTTAGTAGTAGTGGTTATAACAGGAGGTCTTTGGGTTAACAGTGCAATGGTTATCAGGGTCCCTAAGCTAAAAACTACATTCCCAGCAAACCTTGGTATATAGGAATAACCATTGAGATGTAAAAGAAGTCATTCTATGAGATTTCAATGAAGTTTTTCAAGGTTAATTTAGCTGAGAGCCTTCCCCTTTCTTTTTCTATTTCCTGAAAAGAGGATGTATTGTATTCCCTTTGCAACCATGAAGCAATCCTGAGGATGGAAGTTGTGTGCTAATAATGATGGAACAGAAAAACTGGAGTCTCTTTGATGATGTTGTAATGCTGCCTACCTTGAACTGCCCACAAGCATGTGCCAGCGGGTCAAATATGACTAATAGCTACCCTATGGGACTCAGAACAGTGTCATTGATTTCACATCCAAGCAAGATTCTAGATTGAATAATCTGAAGATTATTCAAAAATGATTAGAACAGCACATCAGCAGGGAATTGCTGGAAGTCCAGGCTGGGTTTAGAAGGGGCCATGGTACTAGGGATATTGTTGCTGATGTTAGATGGATCTTGGCTGAAAGCAAGGGATACCAGATGAATGTCTATCTGTGTTTCATTGA